CCATCCCCCCCCCCCCCCTTTCTAGGCCCCGGCAAGCCCCCAGGGGGGTTTTAGGGGGCCCCTTTAAACTAAGGGCAACTTTTGCCCATTTCCTTGCCCCTACCTTTCCGCTTAAAGTGCGCGAAGGCGGAGCCCGAAGGGCATGCGCACGTCCGGCCGGGGCTGGGGCGCGCACGCAGGGCGGGGCGGAGCCAGGGGGTGCGCACTCCCCGCCTAGGGGAGCGGGAGGAGACAGCTGGTCCTGCCCAGGGCGCAGGGCAAGTACGGGGAGCAGGGGCACGGGACCCTGTGCCCACACGCAGGGCAGCTCTCCGGGGCCCCACCTCACGCAACAAAATAAGCGCTTCCCTCCACATTAGGCCTTGTGATTATATATTTTATTAGAAGAGGAACATCAACAGTTCCTCAAATTTAAAAAAAAAAGTACAAAACTACATACAAAAGGAGATCAGACGACTAAACTTTCCCGACTCAGGGCCAAGTTCTGCAAAGGAGAAAGAAAGAAAAGGGTGTGTGAGCTTAGGGCTGGAGAGGGTCCAGGAAGGCAGGCCAGGGAAGGCTGTCCACTCACCTTCTTGAGCCTCCGCTCCCGTGAGGCCTGGGAGTCGGTCTCAGAGTAAGGGGGAGGCGCTGGGGGGTAGTAGGCGTCCTCTTCCTCCCGGTAAGGTCTCCTCTCCGCTGGCCCCTTTCTCCTCAAGGCCTCTTCCAGAAGCCGACCATCATATTGGGGGTCCGGGTCCCTGGACCTCTCGTTCCGAGCATCCCGAGGGCGGTGGGAGCGGTTCCTAGGGTCAGCACCAGGGCGGTCTCTAGACCTGAAGTCATCGAAGTGGGGTTCCTGGGAGTGTGGAAAGCCCCTTGGGTCCTCTTGGTCGTAGAGGTCATCACGGCTGCGGCTTCGGGGGTGCGCATAAGCTCGGCCTCTCTTCCCACTATTTGGGGGAGAACTCCTCCCTGATTCAGCAGAGCCTGGCCGCGTGAGGTCATCCAGAGCATCCACAGAGCGAGCCCGGGGACGCCCGGCCCCCCAGCCACTCCTGGGCCGTTCTGTAAGGGGCTCTTGCTCCCACCTCCTTGGACTCCGAGGGGAGTGGCGACCCCATTCCTCATCCAGGATTGGGGTGAGGGCAGGGCCTCGGGAAGGCCGAGATCTCCAGTCGTCTTCATGGAGGGAGGTGACTTCACTCATGGCTGTAGGGAAGGGACGTGTCACTGACTGCTGGGAGGTCAGGACCTAATGCCAGGAGCTCTAGGGTCCAGCAGTGTTACCACTGCCTCATACACAGGGCCCGAGACTTCTCCCACCTGTTAAGGGATGACATGCAGTGTCCCATACATTTCTCACTGGCCATGGTAGGGAAGGAGGTACCCTGTCCAGGATTTGCAAGCAAGCATCCTTGGGTCAGGTAATCCGGGAGATGTGTCCCACCCCCCACCTCTGCAACCCCTCAAACTCCAAGGTTCCTCACCCCTCTCTACACGGCTGTTGGGGGGGCCAGGTCGAGAAGGGTCAAAGTTGGCCAGTTCTTTCTCCATGTAGTACAGGACTCGCATAGAGTCATCCTGCTGGCTGGCCTGAATTCTGTAGCCACTACGGACTTCTGGAGACAGGAGATGGAGGTGGTGAGTTTGGGTGCTGGCCCAGTCCCCCTCCCTTACAGGCATGTCCAACTTAGTAACACTTGGTTCTTACCAGAGGTCACACTGCTGTCTGCATCACGAAGCAGGGG